GCAAAAGATTGATGATTACTGCTAACTTTTAGGAGGGAAATTTAGGCAGCGGCGAAAAAAATCTGGCCCATGGGCCGTATCGTAAAAAGCTGGACTGGTCGCGTGCATATGATTAGCCAATCAAATTTGAGGATTTAGGATTCCGGCCCGCACAGATGCTTGAGAAAAAAATAAAACAGTATATCATCATCATCAGTGTCATCATTTAGTGCAGTGGGAAGTCCATATTTAAAGCTAGAATTTGTTCAGTTATGCACCTAGCAAAACCCTTCAACTGCAAGACTATCCTAGAATGTAAATGAAGTGAACCATTTTATATCTTTTAAATTTTAGAACACCATAGGTTGCCTAGAAGAAGGAGCAGAACACAACAAAGACGTTCAGGAGAACCTATGGTCCCACATGCACAGTCAGCAGCTAACCAAAGTGACAGCAGAGACATGTCTGAGACTGACACTGTACAACAACAAAGGCTTAGAGGTACACTTACACTGTAGTCCCGTTTTTAAGTATAAATTCAGTGGAACCTTGTTTATTGAGCAGGTACCAAAATCTGACCATAATATGCTTGCAAGCAAGAGCAAATAAATGATCGATACAAAGGCACAAGATTGCACAGCCTTGTTCCCAGGCTCTCTCTACTCTGCCTTGTCTTGAGCTATGCACTGAGGAAAGGAGTGTTGTCACTAACTAGAGGTTGTCAATTACAGAGCTTAGGCACCGAAAGTTTTGGACATTAACCTGTCCAGAAATATTTTTTTGTTCAATCACTATCTTCAGTATGGTTTTTACTTTCTTCCACTTATTGCCAGCATGGCTCATTGTAAAATGTGGATCTTCAGATCTAAAAAGAAGAGAAAGTTGCCTTCAAAGTAGATTCCTGAACTTAATTAAAGTAATAAAAGCATTTGGCAGTACGTGAATTTGAAGATTTAAATTTTATGTTATGGGCCAGCAACTAGTAGTAAAATCAATGTTGAATAAATGAAAATCTTAATACAAAAAATAATGTACTCAATCAAACCAGGCGGTTCTGAAGATAATAATGATATAAAGCCACCATCCCACTCTAAGTTTTCCATATTACATTACTTATGTCCTCACAGATCCTTGTACTTTAAATAAAAAATAGGTTATGAATATGTTTGACGAAGTCCCAATTGACAACTTCCCCCTCTCTTGGATTACAAAATACACTATAAAGTATGGATTTTAGACCTCCCCTCAGATTTAAGCCAACCCAAACCCTCTTAACAAAACATGTACGCCCAGGGCATTGTGGGGCTGGTAAACAATAATTATTTTGTGGACTTATGTTTTAGAACCAATGAGAGATTGATAGTTGCAAGCAAACTAAAACTTAATAAAGCAGCTGTCAATAGCCTAGTTTTTTATATGTGCTGTCTTTGCATCATCCTTTGTATGAAATCTTTTTAAGCAATTGTCACCAAAATAATTCTGTTATAAATGTGTCAACATTAATAACATTGACACCATCATCATGGATCAGAAATACCTTGTTTCATACTCTAACTGTGATTAACTGGGATTATGTGGGACCTCCCACAACTGTGTACTTTATTGCTCGATCGTCACTCTTCTAATTTTAAGACTATCCAATGTAAAATTTTAGAAATAAGTGAATCGGTGTATTTTATTTTATTTTAGAGCACTGTAGTAAGTTGCTGAGAAGAAGGAGCAGAAGACAAGAAAGAAGTTCAGGAGAACCTGCGGCCCCTCCACCAGCAGCAAACCGAAGTGAAAACAGAGACATATCTGGGATTGACACTTTACAACAACAAAGGCCTAGAGGTACACTTCTTCCAAATGTTAGACAGTATAAATTCAGTGGAACCTTGTTTATCACTGAAGCAGGCATCCAAATCTGACCTTATTAACAGTCAGACTGACCATATTAAATACAAGCTTGGCCGGCCAAGTTTATATACAGTGTACGTACACAGAGTCAATTGAAAGCAAGAGAAGTGACCGTCATTTCGTTAACAAGCGCACACAGCTACGCTACTCACTATCTATCACAGAATAAATGGCGAGTAGCGTAGCCAATCCGAGAATGCCATTCATGATAGAACGCCAGTAGATTTATACTAAAACTTGATGAAATGAAACTTTTACTTTTGTGGGAAATTATAATGGTTACAGAACATTGTGTCGTCCAATAGACCATTTTACAGTTGTCTGCTCAGTGACCTGGCCTTTGTATGGCAGCGAGGCTAGAGTTGAC